AAATCTACTTTTGCCGTGAGCATAAAGGTAGTTAGCGACCATCTACAGGGCCAAACCAAGTATATATCAGAAGGGAGGAAATCCTACTAAATATTCTTAAGTGGTGGACATATATAATTTTTCTAAATCTAGATTAATGTCACTTTAATCTTGGAATTAATCTAGATTAATATCACTTATTTGAATTGTGCAAAAGACCTTCATGATAGGTGTGTGCTACTTCCAAAAAAAAAAAAAAAAAGTTTATTTATTTTCTATGTTTGCAAAAATCACACGTAATTTTGTCTTCTTGTGTAAGATTTTGGCATTTTTATAATTACTTTTTTTGCTTATTTGTTACTGTGTTTTTGCAGCAAAAAATAAAGTGTCCCACTTCCAATTATAGATGTTCCACTTAAACAAAAGTGTCTCCAAAAATTTGACACACATGTCGCCTCGATCATGTCTGCAGTATCTTTTTTTTAAATTGCCGATATTTTTTTAAAATATAATTATATATATATATATATATCTATGTCTATCATGCAGGTATGCAAGACAGGTTCACAACAAACATTACAGCTTCCACGCCTAACCATGTCTAATACACACAACAGCGTGGAGGCAAACTATTTAACATGACTTATATAAAATGAGTAATCCCTACACAAATCTATTTGATCTATAATTATTTGCTTTGATGGTCATCAGTCAGTACTACGGTGAAACAGTTTTGGTCAATTAATGATGTTTATTTTACCCTTTATAAAATAACATTTAGTCTAAATTCATATACTCACTTTGACGACCTGCGGCGTTTGCAGCAAATGGAGTTCAGGTGCTTTTCTGATGCTCTTTGGAGAAACCCAGGAACTTGGAGGTCTTTGAGGACTGAGGAGAGGCTGAGGAGTCTGACAGGACGGGTGGACCACCAGATCCATCAGCCTGGGACAATAGGAAAGATTAATATGGGAATTCAAATGCTCTTTAAGCAAAACTTTATGTGATAAAGTCAAGTGTTTTCATGACTGGTCAAAATGGAGAGGAATAAAATCAAAATATCTAATAATTTTTTAGTACCATTTTTGTTCATTGTAAAAGAAAAGAAAATGACTACAAAGGCTATTTGCAGAAATATAATACAGCAGACTGTTGTCATCTAGTCTAGATATTGACCTTGACTTTCGTTTGGAGGTCATGGTGATGGGCGTTCCCAGGAAGGGATCTGGAAAAGTAAGGGCCGAAGGCCTAGGACTGGAGCTCTGAACATTTGCTGCTTTGGGTCTGGGGAAAAAAGAAAAAAAAAAAGAAACACAGATGTATTAAATTACAACTAAATAGATCTAAGTACTGCAGGAAGACTAACATTGAGATGCAATCTGTATGTTAAATTCTCACGTCTTGGCAGGGGAGGGCTCAGGTGTAACTTCTCTGCCTTGCCACACCTCCTTGATCTTTGTGAGGACACTGTGGATAAATCCAGCTCTGGACAGCACCTTCTCATCAGCAGAACGTTTGGTGATAGCAGACAGTGGCTGAGGCCGGGAAACTAGAAAGTAGAGAACAAACACGATAAAAAAAAAAACAATGTCATTCGTTAACACACACCATTTCCCCAGCAACAGATGGAAAAGGTTAACCAAAGGAATGATGGAAAGCCATGTTTCAACAGAGATGTGGTACCTTCTCTGTGAATGGTGGAGGGATGTTGGTAAGGCTTGACTCTCTCCATTGCCAGTTTTCTCTGCACCCTTGGCAAAACCTTCCCGTATCCATCTAAAATAGAGTTTCTGGTGGTGGATCGCTCCTTAAGCTTTGGGTCTCGCTCATTCTGCAAATGGACAAACACTTTAAATTATGACACCATATAAATCTAGGCATTGATGTGGAGGCATATTTATTGACAAAAATTGGGTTAGATTCTATTGCAACTATTTAACAATGAGAATTCATTTCCCCCACACGTACCACCAAGTTCATTTTAAGGTTTTGGTTGAGCTGCAGAGCAGGAATGTAATTAGCCTGTTGAAGGTAATGCACCATCAGCAGTTCTCGGTTTTGAAGACCTCCTGTACCTTGAAGAAACTTTTCCAAGCAGTCCTGAAACCAGGAAGAGTAAGTGATAGATTTAAACCGTTAGGTGGAGTACGACACAAATATATCAGAGTTTTAAACTGATTATGCATCAACTATTTATTACCTGTTCATTGAGTCCCAGCGGGAGTTTAAGAAGCTCCTTGATGAGGCCCAGCTCCTGGCAACTCTCATACAGGAAGCCCAGCAGCTCAGTGATATTCAAGCTGTTGGAGTGCTGCCGAACTAAAGACCATGCCTCAATAAGACACCTAGAAAGAGAGGGTAATGGTCGGTTGACATATGTAAAATGAAAATAAACAGTGCCCAAAAACCAAAAAAGCAGCTGAACTGACCTGTTATGTAGCAGCACGGAGAGGCAGAGTTTTGCCCGGGCGGTGGAGGTAATCGGAGGCTTTGTAACGTGGAAGTAACGGAGCGCCACTGACTGTTGGCCTTGACACATCAGCGCCTGCAGGACTCGCTCATGCTGCCATGCGAAGTGAAACTGAGAGGCAGCTGGATGTAGGAGCAGATCAAATGAACTCTGAGGACGACACGAAACAAAATTCAGACAAACTCCGGATAAACAAAAAAAAAAAACTACTGAGCAGTACTGAATGTGTATTATAAAGTAATAAACACCCCTTCCTGTAGGTGGATATTTCTACATTAAAACTTCTAGTTCTTGCTCATTTTGAATAGCTGTCGGAAATAAACAGTATTTTTCTTTGTAACTTAGAAATCATCCAAAAATTATCAAAACACTGGTGTCTTCTCTTTGTCAGAAAACACTTTCAGTCAGATTGTAAGTTCATCTGTACCTCAATGATCAACTAATCATCTAATATTACCTGATGATCATGATGGTCCAGCAGCCAGAGTCCTTGTACCAGTTTAACCAGTCCGATAGGGATAGCAAACGCTGTGGGAAAAGATTCCACTGATGTTCCATCCTTATTGGGAAAGGAGTACATGACATCCAGCAACAAGTAAATCACCTGGAACCGCAGGTTAAGGATACTAATACGCCTCTCATGGACATAATCAGCTGTTTCAATAACACTAAGATGTTAGTTATGCTGAGAGGAAAACATGCTAAGGCTGAATGATGCCGCAGCTCGTTAGGATTAGCTTAAGGATACAATAGCATGTTTGGCAGCTTCATCAATGTTGTCCAGAAGGTAGAGGTCAAGCAATGCCTGTGGGTCACAGAAAAATAACACGCTTTTTACAAATTAGGTTTCTCTAAAAAGACATGGGTTCGCTATAAGATGGACAGAATGGAGCAAGAAATGATTTCAGATCCTTACATGCAGTGTGGGTGGTGGGTACTGCCCTGTTCCCTCCTCATCCCTTTTCCACAGATTGGTTAGACGTTCACCACACTCTCCGACCAAACCATCGATCATGAGGCAGTCTGCACACCATTTGGTCCTTAAAAAAAAAAAAAGAGAGCAGGAAAGAAATCTGCATGAAATTTACGTAAAGAATAAAAATCACTCAAAGAAATAAAACAAATGATATGTTGACTTAAAAAAAAAAAAAACTCAGTCCAGGATTTTCTCAGCACTCACTTGGCCAACCTAGTCAGCTCCTCCCTGCGTATGGAGTAATAGTTACTGATCACTGAATGGGTAAAGAAAGGCCTGGGGATCTGGAGAGCATCTTCATCTGCTGGGATGGATCGGTCAGACACAAATATGAGAGTACAGCAACATGTATAATTCTGTCCTTAAAACAATTAGTACATTAAAAAAAAATAAGATTTATATGTAATTAACTCAAAAGAAAGACAGTTTTGATTTATTTTAGAAATAAAGTTAAGAGAAGTAATATATACACTTAAAATAATAGTAACAATAATATTTTTCCTCCATTTTTAAATTTTTTGATAAATAATATCCCTTAAAAAAAACCAAAAAAAACAGTTTTCTTCTTTGAAATATTTTCTTTTCTTCATCAGGACTTTTTGTGAAACCATAGTTAGGGTTGGTATGTCTTTACCTGATCCCTCCGGGAGTAAGCCGGTACGACAGAACCACAGGACCACTTGAGCGTATTTGGAGATTAAACTGGACACCATGTTCTTGTTGATCAAACCTGATAAACCTAAAAGAAACCAAAAGCTGAAATCAGTTCTTAAAAGTGAGATTAAAGTCGTAGGGAAGCGGCCGTTCCAACCGTTGCATTTCTGAATTCTCCCAGTGGTGCCCGACTTTATACGAGTGAATAAAGCGAATGTGATTGGTCGATTATCGAGAAGGCGGGATTTTTAATTGTGGCCGTTTTCTCTGAAGCATCTTGCTAACCAGTTAGCAACTTAGTGCTAGTAGGTTTCCAATGGGAAATTTCATTGGGACCAAGTAGCACTAAATTGGTGACTTAGCAACGACACCGTCAAGGAATGCTATGGACAGAGGAAACATGCAAGAGGTCGTGGATGAGTCTCCTCCTTCATACATTTTTTATTTAGAGGAGGAAAGCAGAAACGAAGATGTTGTGGAAGAGGACGCCAGGGCGGCAGAAGCTTGGTTTGGTGTAGAAGGCTTACAGCCGTACATGTTTGAGCCCTTGCCTCGCAACGCTGCCAGTTCTGTTAGCTCTACACCTGCTGAAGACATGGACATCCATGCCCATGAAAACTGGGACGGAACTCAATGGTAAAGTAAATTATTCTATTTTCTTATTTCAACTGTGGCCTATATCAGCTGCGACGTATGAATCAAAATGCAATGACCGAACAAATTTGATTATCAGATGACCGTTATAGGTGTACAGGCTGACGTATAACTAACTGGCCTGCATAAAAAAAAACACAGATTTTAGGACATGATTTTTTTTTTTTTTTAAATAGAATTTTTTTTTAATTTAAAGACAATATAGTCTGATAAAGAGTACATTTATATACATGTTTAAGCCAAAGTGATTTGACATTTAAATACGATTTTCCTACGACTTTAAGAAAACACATTGAACTTTCTGTTAGTGACTAAGAGCTACATCAGGTGGCATAAAGACATGTAAAAGTCCCTCAGTCACCTAACATACTGCTAAACCTCATCTTATTAAATGACATAAGAAATACAGAATATTGATATAGTAATAATACTTTTACTGACACACAGGCATATAAAACCCTTTGTGTGGGTAAGATACCTTGCTGTGTGAGCTCCTGAGCTTCACTGAGGAGGCAGTGGAAGATGGCGCTCAGATTACTCAGCAGTCTCTGGGTGTGTTGCAGCAGCTGCAGGGTTTGAGGGTCGGTGAAGTTAGATGAGCTGTTAAACAAGGGGGCACCTGGACACCAAACACACACAAATATATTAGCTTTTGAGAAATGCAGACTTAATAAGGTGCTGGTTATGAATTTACTGTTTTTTTTATACCACACTAGGTATGTAAAGTATGGGTGCTTTCTAGCCATACTGCACAAGGCTGTGTAATTACTGGTAAGTGTTGGGCCATTAAACTTGATATTAATTTTGGACATTGGGGAGCAACGTCCATGCCGATATTAACATGATCATTGGGGAAGGAGGATGCTCTGCAGTTCGCCTCGTAACACCTCTACAGTTGCTGTGAAAAGCCACACTTCTGCCTCAAACAGATTTGTGTTGCAAAAAGGGCAAATAGTTAGATGTAATATTTACAAATATTTATTGTTTGTCAACTTATACTTTTATTATGACTTTTACAGCAGTAAAAACCCCAAAAATGTTGGAAAAAATAACAAATTGTGGGAAATATGCAGCCATCAAGTCTCCATGTCATGTATTTCGAGATCTCCCTCGCAAAAAGAGATTTAATCTCAAGGGACTTCCTGGTAAAATAAAGGTAAAATAAATTTGTTCTGCCCAGCAGCTGAACCAATTGAGCCCAATCTGCAGAGGGAATTAAATAGTGCAGATTGGACTCACCTGGTTCAGTGGCTAGAAATAGGGATGACTTTATGACTCCACATCTCCCACCTCCGCTCTTCACTCAAGACTTTTCTAAAGAGCTGCTCTATAGCAATACATACAGATGCCATCCAGCTCTTCTTTGGTCTGGACTACTTTGTTCCAAGCCCAATCCAGGATGTAGCGAAGATTCAGGGCAGATCCTGGTTGTTCTGGTCAGAGGAAATTATGAGTTTAATGCAAGAAAACTTTTTTATAACAGAAGAAAATCTGAGAAGTAGGAATGGAGATTGGATATTATTGCTGTCAAAGTTTAAAAACACAACAACCATCTTCTGGAGGTAACGTTAGAGACACAAATATGATACCAGGAGAGGAAAAAACAACTGTTACCATCGTCTTCCTTACCTTCTGCAGTCCACTGCTTAATACAACCAGTAATCAATCCCAAGGAACTGGTCTCGACTGCTGTTGAAAGGATGGCATCCAGCTGCTCCTCCTGAGGACCAAGTGTTAATAAATAAGTACCAAAGCCATTGGCATCATATATATACACCTGATTCCCTTCAGTTTTCTTTGGACAGATGTTGCACTATCCAGCACAAAAAAGACAAACTGAAACCTTTTTAAAAGGTCTTAGATTATAATTGTGTAGTTTATGAAAACAAACATTGTAGTGACACTATGATTTCAAGACAACTAACAATACCACGTGTCATTAAAATACAGTGAGGCCCAACCAAAATACCACATTTAAATAAAATAAAAAAAGATTTATAAAAGATATTACGATTATGTGAGAGTGGGTTTGTGGATGACTAAATGTAGCGTAAAGCACTTTGCTCAAGTACAGGCCAAATCTTAGAAATATGTAATAAATCAACACAGAGTTAAAAGCAAGGTGAATGAAAAGCAGGAAAATACAGTTTTAGAGAACTGGGTACCTGAGAGAGGCTGCTTGTCTGAGTGTCTGATAGCCGAGATGAGAGGAGGCCTGACATAAGGCAGTGGGAGTAGCTGATAGAGATGATGTCACTGGAACAAGGGGCGGCTTTCTTCAAAAAGCTTAAAGTCTGCAAAAAAAAGGTTCTGGTCAGTCTACTTTTTTCAATAACAGTAATATGACATTCAAACATATTTCCAGTAATTTGACAGACACTGTGTTTACAGTGTTTATCAATAAATAACCCCCCAGGTGCAGGGGGTTTGAGCGGAACCGAAAGAGTCGCAACAAACTAGCTATGTGAGCAATGACAGGCCACAGACAGGGAGCCTGTGTTCTGCAGCTGTAGACTTCTGGATCTGTCCAGGTGGTAATAAAATTAGCGTTCATGGTAACGTGACCAAAGTCTCCGTTATAAATTACATCTACCAGAAGGTGCAGAGAGTATGTTAGTCCTAAATCAACAACTAATCGCACAGTTAAAGTTGCAGTCAGAGCAGAAGAGTGTGTCTTTAGAGGTCAACTGATAAGCAACTACCCGTGTGTCACTTAGCCTGTCCAGCTGTTCTCTGGTAGTTTTAAAAGTTTGTTAGAACATCAGTGTATTTAAACCATCAGAACACCGAGGATGAAGAGAAATATGTCAATGAAAAAAATATGGGAAATTTGAACCATAGAAAAAGAGCCAGAAAAACAAAAAGCACAGCATTCTGATTGCAAACCAGAGTTGGAAGTTTCTTCCGGATGGAATTTTTTTTCCAGGAAAGCTGTACGACACAAACCACTAAAAATCTGCAGCTGTAATTACAGCAAAATATGTTTCTACAAAATACTGACAAAATACTAATCTTCCAAGATCCTGACTGAAGATGATTGTACATTTTTCTCATTTTCCCTCCACTTCACAATCAAAAAACAGCTCGTGTTCACCACATTAAACTGAATATATTAGAACTGAAGTTTGATGTAATATGACAGAACATAAATCATTAAAGAAAAAAAAAAAAGATACTAATGTTCAAAACCAATGTTAGCACAGACTTGCCTCTTTTTGATGCCCAGAGCAAGTTAAGTGCACAATTCCAGTGTTAAGTAAACATGTGGCATCTGAAAGAGAAGAAACAGGATTCTTATCATAATGTATAAAAAATATGAAGGGTTTAGTCTTTCAGCTTCAAAATGAATATGAAGATATTGTAGAAATTAATTAATCTTAACTTACCAAAGTTATAAGTGGTTGGATTAAAGTACTGCTCTGGGGGTGGGCAGGTGAAGGGCAGGCCCCTGCTCAGACTGCGCTCATGAACAAGTACATCCAGGAAGGGGTGGGGGGACACCATCTGCACCACAACATCCAGGGACCAAACTGCCAGGTAGGGGCAGTTCTGGAGAGACTCCCCAGTTCTGCCAAAGAGACAAATCAGCTGTTAGAACAAAACTCGTCTAAATCCTTCCTGCCCTCAAACATAAAACCTTTGATTCTTTTGGCACTTTAAAGTAACCCTGATAAACATGAACTTTAATAAAATCCAAATGAAAAGTACCTTAGCGAGTCAGGCATTTGTGCATGGTACCAGCGGTTGATGTCAAATACACCTATATAGGTAGAGGGACTTCCTTGGCCATAAGCCTTGACTTGCCAACTAAAGATGGACAAACTGGTGTCTGGTGATGCGGCTGGAGAGTTAAGGAAGAAAAACAAAAGAAAAAAAAAAAAGAAGAAAAAAAAAAGATGTATCCTTACTGTAAGATGAATACGCTGATAACATTATTAGGATTTAATGCTCACCTTCATTCATACTGTCGTCCCTGTCAGGATGGGCTCTGAACTTCTCAATTGTCTGGCAGCCCAGCAGACGTGTGTTTGTGGCCTGAGCCCTGAGAGGGAAGGATGTGCCGCTTAAATCCTGACTGTATCGCTCCTCGCAGTACTCAAGACCCTGTTTGAGAAGAACAGGAAGATGGAGATGATTTTATGTAAATAAGCAACATTAAATGGCCTATACCGTTTAAAACATATGTTTTTTTTAGGCTTTTAACCTTTCTAAAATGTTGTTTTGGTGGAGACATTGTGAGGAGAGAAATAAGCTCCCACTTTGTATAAAGCCAAGCATGGATGACCTGCCTGAGAAGGAAAGCTTTCAGCAGAAATGCTTGCAACAGTATATGTGAAATCCAAACCAACACAAAATAATGTGTTCCTTCATGATATGCACTTTAGTCTAGAAGGCTTTGATAATCCTGGCTAGCACCAAAGTGGATTCACCAATATTTTTATTCCTTAAACGTGATGCAAATCCATCTGTGAAAGCAGCTGATTGCTCAATGCTAACCTGATGTTGTTCTAGCTAAATGTTGTAATAATACTTTATTAGCTCACCTTTTTGGGATGCATTTAAATTTTTGCTGCTTAGACAAGTTAGCTGATGCTTAAAATAATCCAATTGATATCAACAGGGGTGGATATTATTCAGCTGAATGCATGTAACCTCACATAGCTTATACCATGGATTAAAATGGCTTGGGAGGAAAAGGTGACGTGAAAAAACAGCAGCAAAAAAACACTAATATTTCACAAAAGATTTGTACTTCTTTGTGCAAGAGGTAATATTTGTCTAGAGTTGACTTTGGATGACATAAAAAAACATGATATAGGACCTTTGAAACCTAAAACTTCCCCTTAAAAAAAAAAAAAATAGATTAGATATTAAGAGTTGGATTCGAAATTACAAACCTCATAGAGGATCTTCCCAGAGGCCAGACACTTTCTTTCACTGAAGGCCATCTGAAGCAGGTGAAGGCTGACAAGATCGCCTTCGCTGTGTAGGAGTAAAATAAAAGAGCCAAAATAAGAACAGAGGTAGGACTGAGGAGTAACCATGTTTGCTTTGTCTGTGACTTGGAATGTTAACAACACAGAATGCATAAATGCTGAGCCAAATCTCAGTTCTTACAGATCCTGAGAAGACTGGACAGCCCAGAGATAGCAGCAGTTTCTGGGGTCATTCTCTGGCTCCTGGTAGGTGAAGGCGTGAACCGGCACCTTTCCACCCTCCAACTGGCACTGATATCTAAAAACAGATTAGCACCGTAACGCATTAATGCGGTTCTGTTTACACATAGTGCAGCACATGCAGAGTGAACAAATCCTCTTTAATATTTTTTCACCAAGTCTTCAATAAATTGAAGGCCATTATGTTTTTATATTCTGCAAGTAAGTAATAGATTACCCAATCCGGAGTCTAACATTACATGATATTGTTAAAGGTGACAAACATCATTTAGGTTGAATAGATCGTCAAAAATACTAATGTCTCCTTCAGGTTCAAATCAAACAAAGACCCGGGGCCCATTGTTTAAAGTGTGCCTGCACACAAAATAACCTGTGGTGCAACGTTCAATGAAAACCTTCGGATGTATAAAAATAAATTATTAAATTGTGTGGAGCAATCTATGCAAACTTTTGATATGCAGTAAGAATTCTCCTAAAGCTATAAGGACTTAAACTCTCTTATAAAATAAAATGTGGATACAGAACAAGTGGCAAACAGATCAACAAGGAAAATGTATCATAACAGTATTATTTCCATGTTTGGCAAGGATTCTGCATGATTTGAAAAACCCTAGAAAATAACACCCACTGGTTATCTTCCTGAAACTTTAAAGGTACTCAGTGGGGATGATCAAAATGGATAAATAAATTTAGCATATTTTTATGATAATGCAAAAAAATATGAAAGAAAGTATCTAAAGAAAAATCATTGCAGTCTGGTTTTCAGGAATTGCATGGCTTTGAGGGCATATCAATGCACACAGGACACATCCATTATAAACCTGGGAGTGAACAAATCCGTTGTGTGTTCTCAACACCAGTCAGTTCTGGGGTTTTGGAACATTTATATACAGAACATTATAAATCTTGTATAACTGGGGGAACTAAACTGTATTTTACTCCAATATTATGATCCATCCAAACCATATTTTGACATTTACATATTTGAAATTAACCAAATGCAAACAGAGCTATGCTAGCAGTCATTAAAGAACAATATAGCATGTACTGTCAGTACATTTATTTTAAACCTTTCCAGATCTTTCTGTTAAATGGCACAGGAAATATTCCTGGCGACATAAAAAGCACATGTATAGCATATATAGCTGCTCTGTTGCCCTGCTGCTATAGAGTGAGAGTCCCTCTAGCCGAGGTGCTAAACAACCTCATCTCCATACCATAATAAAACAGTTAATAAAAACAGACCACTGGACTTTGTTTTCCAAGTTTGAAGATGTTTCGCTTCCCATCCAGGAAGCTTCTTCAATCCAAAATGTCTGGATTAGCATTAAGTTCTAAGCTTTATAGAGTAGCCCAACAAAACCTTGTTTTGGCTTAGAAAACATGCTAATCGAACCGGAAGAACAGGTCTGCCCCTTAGGGTTGGGAGTTTTTTTTTTTTTTTGGAATGACTATGCCCTGGATGAATGAGACTCTTCACCAGCATAATAAAAGATACATTAACTCCAAACAGTTGTCTGTTCAAAAAAGGATGTCTTCCATTTTAACACAATATCCTCAGCATTACAATTAAATGTATTCATGTGGTTTTCTGTGTGCAACAAAACTTTTTTTTTTTTATGTTACACTGATTAAAACAATCCTGAAAGGGAGCATTATATTACTTCCATTGAACAGCTTTAAATGGTTTGGATTCATTTCTTGAAGAGCATAAAGATAAAACACAAATACTTACTCCCTTTTCAGGGTTTTCATGTTCCACAGCTGCAAGTGTCCATCAGAAAACCCCACTGCTAGCTGGTTGGTTCTGGAGATGTACTGCAAGGCCGTGACTCCCACGCCACTGGGAGAGCACAGCTGCAGACAGAGATGTCGGCCCTGCCTGGTGCTCTCCTCTCTCAGCGTGGGGATGTCTGCAAGAGACTTTGTAACCACCTGTAGGTCTGCAAACACAGATGTTAAACAGAGTAGTTAGTTAGAATGATAATAGAATAGTAAAGCAGTTACTGAATCGTTTTTTTTTTTATCCAGAGCAAACAAAATATTACTAATAATCAGTTTCAACATTATATGAGCAAATTCCAGCCTCACCTGAAGCCTCCAGTTCACTCTGGCTGCAGGAAAGATCATCAAGACAAAGATCCAAAAGCAGGACATGACCAAGATCCGTTACTACTGCAGCAATGCCGAAGAACCAGCGTAAACTCTGGTGGAGGTGCTGAGTGGAAGTGCTTGCTCCACCATAACTCACAAGAGGCTCAATAGCTGTAATCTGAGTGGTGAAGAAAAGGGTATTTTTGATTCGTTAGGTTGAGGGATTATGATCCCATTCTATTAGTTAAGTCTTTTATAAAGACTCGATTCTGCAACTATTACGTTACTAGTTTAAAATAACTTTTCTGGAACTGAATTTTGCTGCATTGTAATGTGACAGTGCCTTTTATAAACAGAGAAAACATTTAGCAAATTTATCAGCTAAACACTTTAGCAGCTATAAAAGAGTCTAATAACTTAAACTCACCCTGCCTGGTATAACCACAGCTTTCACCACCCTGGACAGTCCCAGGTCATAAAGACACAGAATGCTGCCCTCCGTTTCCTCCAAGCCAACCAACAACCCAGATCTGGAAACAATAAGATTTTTAATTGAGCATAAAATTCTGGAGACAATTATAAGATAAACCTTCATGTAGAAAAAAAAAAACAGCTATGTGAACCATCTAAAAAGCAAGTACAATAACTAAATAAATATCAAATTTCTAACATTTTGTTTTTCCTGTGTTAAATTTGTCCTTCCTAAACAAGATAAGTCTATACTATTTACTTTAAATGTTTATCTTTATCAAGGCTGCACTTTAAACAATGAAAATGTCTTGAGAGCTGTACCGAATGAAAATAGTTTTTGTATACATTTAGGTTTACAAAATGACAAATAAAGTCTGTCTAAGTCTCTTAAAAATCCCCCAGGGGTGTCCTTGTTAAAAAAAAATAAATAAAAAATAATAAATAAATAAAAGCAATTAATCAGAATAATGATGACCTACAGATTGGTTTGCCTGCAACAGACTGTCCACATGAATATTCTATTATCACAAATGAAAAGGGGGTAGCTAAAAGAGCTTTAAAGGAATAGTACACCCAAAACATGATTAGCCTTCATTTTCTACTCACCCCCATGCTGAACAACACTCTGGAGTACTTTTTTGATATCTCAAATGCATCTGGAGATCTGGGAGGCTTCTTGCTGTCTGCTGACATTCAAATAATGGAGGTCTATGGTGCCCGAGACAGAAAGGTCCATAAAAGTCCACAAAAAACGTGTCAATATTCCTCCATACTGCTCGTCCAATGTATTCCAAGTGTCCTGAGTGGGTAGCATCCAGAATTTACTCAAAACAAAGTCATTTAGAATGTTTTTAGAGCATAAACAGTAGTGTATAGGATTTCCTGAAAGCGCGCACATGCGCGCTCACGACGCTACGGAAGCCGGCAGACCAAACCAGATGAAAGTGCGCATTCAGCGTCTGCTCTGCCAATAATGCAAGCGTAGAAGAAGAAATGTGCTGTTTACCTGTGCAAAGAAAGAAACAACGAAAAAAAATGTCTGAGGACTTCAGTGTTGAGGAAGAGCATGAGTTCTTTGCCGAGCTGAATGCGCACTTTCATCTGGTTTGGTCTGCCGGCTTCCGTAGCGTCGTGAGCGCGCATGTGCGCGCTTTCAGGAAATCCTATACACTACTGTTTATGCTCTAAAAACATTCTAAATGACTTCGTTTCGAGTAAATTCTGGATGCTACCCACTCAGGACACTTGGAATACATTGGACGAGCAGTATGGAGGAATATTGACACGTTTTTTGTGGACTTTTATGGACCTTTCTGCCTCGGGCGCCATGGACCTCCATTATTTGAATGTCAGCAGACAGCAAGAAGCCTCCCAGATCTCCAGATGCATTTGAGATATCAAAAAAGTACTCCAGAGTGTTGTTCAGCATGGGGGTGAGTAGAAAATGAAGGCTAATCATGTTTTGGGTGTACTATTCCTTTAACTGTTTATTGCCAATTTGAAGAAATGTTTCCTTAATCAAAACTGGTGATCCCATTATTAGAAATAGATGGATACGTCAATCAGCCAATATTTTCGGGCCAATATTAGCTTGATTTCCTTGTATCTGCATCGGCTACTGCATGCACATGTTTGCAGATGAATTAATTATTTAGCAGCCAGACCTAGAGATCATCTGATGCACATGCATTGCCGCTCCATCCATTACTCCCTCCATTGTTAATGGTGTCTTTGATCCATTAATAACCTTTTTTTTTTTTTGGTTAAATTTAGGCCTGTGTAACATTTATTACCATTACGTCATATTTTTATCATGTAAATGGAGGAAAACAACATCAGCTTAAAGATTTGGCCAAAGACAAAACCAGCCGCACATATTGATGTCAGAATAATTGCAATCGGCCTTAAATAATCTGCATCTGTGACGATAAACTAAATGATTTCCACTCCATAAGGTCAGCTCTAAAAGCTGCACAGCCATTTCAAAATGTTGAAGTGCAGTGACATTTTTGGAGCAGTATTTGTGAGGGTCTGAGTGAAGTTTAATAGCAAAACACATATTTGTCACTTTCATCATAAACAGAAAAATGCAATAAATGTTTTAAATATTTCAGAGCTTCTACACCTACTCTGATTCCAAGTATAAAGATATTACATTAATGCAGAATAGCAGAAACACTTAAAAGACATTACTCATTCATGTTTTGCTTCCTGGTGCCAATACTGCATGCACCACAAGCAGCTTTTATGCAGATATAAGTCAAGATAATAGCTGGATAAAGCAGCAGCAAGATCCTTTTTTGTCCGCATAAATAAATGTTTATGTAGAAAATGGAAGATATCATGAAATCCTAATGGGCCTCTGTCAAACTGGCAGAACCTCTTCCCTGCAAAAGGATCCTTGGACAATAAAACCAGTCTCAAATGCACTGCTCAGAGCAGGCAAAGCCAGGTAGGCAACAAATACTGGACGGAGCCATCTTTTACAGTTGCCTTTTGTATCACTGTTTCTGTCTCCTTAAACCCCAGTCAGCCTCGGCAGATGGCCGCTCACACCAAGCCTGGTTCTGCTGGAGGTTTCTTCCTGTTAAAAGGGTTTTTTTTCCTCCACTGTCTCTAGAAGCATGCTTAGTGTGGGGATTGCTTTCGGGTCAACGAGTCGATGCAATCAACTGGTTTTCCTTAGATAAAAAACTTTGAATCAATTGAACTGTAAAGTGCCTTGAGATGACATTGTGTTGAGAATTGGCGCTATATAAATAAACCGAATTCAAATACACCATTTATTGCCACTGCTAATTGGAAGGAAATAAATCAGATCATCTCTTCAGCTGAGTCTGACTGAAAATATCTAATCTGCCCTTTATATTGTCAAAAGTCAATGTGTCCACTCTACACACAAAGAATGCTGTAAACATAAGGAGGACAGACTTTTGTTTTCTTCCTAAGAGTAAAAGTATTTTATACATCCTTATAGGAACATTTTATTCAGTAATATTTTTTGAAAATATTATTTATCAATATTATTACCTTACGGTATAAAAGTTTTTCTATTTTTTGGTACTTATAGCACCTTATTGACCACTTTTTATAAACAGCTACCGAAGAATGCACCTGTAAATGTTACGATTCTTTGTCTTTAATGAAAAAGAAAAACACTAGAAAACAGCAAACTATCTAAGAAGCACATGAATGGCGAACCTGTGCTCTGACCTTTTGAGCCAGTCGAAGTCCCTGGCAGCGAGGACAATGGGTGGGTGCTCTCCTCCACCACTGAAACGGTACGCTGACAGCCGCTCTCCTGTCACTGCGTGAACAACCTCCAGGTTGGGTCCACTGGCCAACCAGGCCAGCCCGCTGCGACCTTTGCATACAAATAAAAAGATAAAATAAGTTTAACCTATAAACGTTATTCAGCATTAACATCAGTATTGATTTAGTTATAGCCCCCTATCAACTGTGTGAATTTTTTATTTCTCTTAAAATATCACTAGCTTAATTTTTTTTAACAACACTCTTGTTGGAAGTGAAAACTATAATTTAGGGATAATAAAAATGCTTACCAACAGTAAACTTGCCATGAAGAACACAGTCCAGGCTGATGTCATCCTCACCCAGAGCATCTACAGTCACTCCTGAGAAGGGCAGCAGGCTGCTGGTCACTTGGGCAGTCAGGTCATGCATTGTTCACTGTGTCAACAAAAGCAGAGAGAGGAATAACTTCTAGTGAACTTCATAAGTCATTCCTAAAATCTAGAGGAAACATGTCAACATGATATCATGTGCGCAGCTGCATTGTTGGCTCAAATGAATACTTTGTTAGGAATCACAGCTGCTGGCAGCTGGGTTTAAAACTGAGCTTGGGTTCCAATCATCAACAAGGCTGCTGCGCATCTGTTGGCAAATGTACCACATGGCAGCAAACGCTGATCGACAGCCAGACTAAAGAACAAGAACAACGAGTGTAGCAATTTCAGGCCAGTCTATTATTGAGGCATATGAGAAAACTAATAACCCTTCCATCACGATTTTGATTTCAGCGAGGGAGGAATTCTAGATCGATTAAAAATATTTATGTTTTTGTAAAATTTAGTCAAAGTTTGGAAACCGGGCACTCTTTCTGTTGGGTATCACCAACCTGGTAAATTCTGACTTGGTGTTTTAAATTTCAAACATTTCAGAGAAAGTAAAACAAGGCTGTTTATAAAAAAGATTCGGAAAAGAAGAAACAGAGATCTGACAAGCGATACACATTTAGCCTTTTTTAAAGCAGTAATATAGCTTCAATTCACAGCATGTCATCTCAAGGCACTTTACAGAGACAATTCAGCCAGATTGGCTCCAATTGTTCTAAGGAAAACCAGCTGATTGTATCGACTAAAGCAGATAAAGAGAAAATAAACACACACAAGATTTTTTCTTTAGGTTCAATGTTATTAGTAGTTTAGAAATTAACAGACTACCGCAATTTATTTTTATTCCCAATTTTATATATTAACATGTTTTTGGGTCTTAGGTTTAATCCATTATTCAATTAAAAGAAAAAAACAAAAAGAAAAAAAGAAATGCATATCTTAGGTGTTCAGCCAACCACAGATCGGAGGAAACCTGGAAGACCTTTGGTCATCTGGGTTGTTCATGTCAAGACTGAATCAGATTTTTCACCTTTTTGCAGTCACAAAGCCAAGTTATTGGTGCACCAATCAGAAAACGTGTCCTACACAGGTGAGAAGCACAGTGCTGCTGACAGCTAAATGCAGCATGTGTTAAAGCTGACACAACACTGCCCCCTGCGGCCACTGGGGGAAACAACACCGCAGATTCAAGTGAACTCCCGCGCAACCAGCCAGCTGGCAGAGGAACGGAGAAAACACGCGAGACAGCACATGTTGATAAACTACAGCGAATAAAAGAGCTTTAGCTTTGATAGGGCAAAGCATTTTACACACTAATCTAGAATATTGAAATTTATAAACAATGCAGGAGGAAGTTATACCACTACAACAACGACCGTTCCGGGGATAACTGTCCGACAGCTAGTTATCACACGAAAGCATAATGCTTAATAATCTAGATAAATAAAGGTTTTAACGGTGAATAACTGATCATTCGTCCTGCCCAGAGCAACGATTACCTCCATAAACTACTTAGCGACGTTGGGCTAACTTCATAGAGAACAGCTAAACTACCCATTTAAGACATCTGAATTGTTCTGTTCGACTACACATCACTTATAGGGCGTTTAAGAGATAATGTTTTAGGGCCATCGCACAGGATAAAGGATGCTTTTTGGTCTTTCAGTTGTATTAGCAAGCCGTTAGCACGCAAGGTCACTCGGATTAGTTCATTTTCACTGTAAAAATGAAGCTACATAACCTAATGTAACCTAACATGCGAGAGTTTCACATACCAATGTTCCTGTCATAACGTATATTTATTTGATATCAGGCAACAAAAAACGATGAAAGTATAGTTATTGTCTGCTCAAGGCAGAGTATCAAACGACTAGCTTAAGCTACGTTGCTACTCTTGCCAACGCAGTTTACTTAGAAGCAGTAAGTAGGTTTGTATAACAGCCGCTGTAAGTGATTTAAGCGGGTGAGGGAGGGGGGTTACTGCGTTTTGATTTTCATTAATAAAACAAAACCGACTTCTAGAGCTAAATATGCACTGATCATGCTAAGACAGTTCAAATTTAACGCCACGCTAAGCACATAGCTAGTAGCTACTGACGACCTTATTGGTAAAGAGCCTCTGTAAGGCGCAGTAACGCTCTTAATAAAACCATTTTTAAGTTTACTCAATATAAAGGGGATCTAGGGTTGCGTTACATCTGAACTAGCTAAGCTAGTAAGCGTGATGCACTGCTATCATCGTTACACTACCTGTCCAAGGATGATGATGAAGGCTTCGGAGCCACTATTGCTTCGCTTTTCCTTAAATAACTCCCCTTCCTCTTTCATAATCCGGTCGTTTTAAAAATATAATATTTCCAAGATCCCCGAGGAGTTTCAAAAATAAAAAAAAACGAAAGGCTCTCTGGACTTCAGGCGTTTACAACTCGAAGCGCCATTTCTAAATTGAGAAAGTACGCCGTGCAGTTCTTCTTCGTCCTAGTTTGTAGCTCTGGGCACGGCTGTCGCCCTCTATTGTTTAGGCGGAGGACCTGCTACTGGAAGGCACGCTAGGTAGTGGTTCTTCTTCTTTAGATTCTTACTGCAGCTTGCATCCATTGTTGCACTACTGCCATCTATTGGATCCTAATATCTACTCCTCAAATTCTTATAATGATCCCAGTGTTTTCGAGAAAAAAAAAAAATAAAAAAAACTTTCCCCCCCTCAATACTATTTAACTGATCAACCACATTCTCAAATTGCAATTCCATATTAAAACCCAATTCTGTTTTTAATAATCTCCTTTGATTTATACCAATAAAGTATAAAATCAATCCACTGGACTTTTTTCCAAGTTTGAAGACGTTTCGCTTCCCATCCAGGAAGCTTTTTCACTTCTTTGATTTACATATATTCTACAACTTATAAAAACATGTTCCATTGTTTCTACAGTATCGTGCCAACTACAAAAACCAGCAAGATCTTAAAAGGAAATCTTTAAAGGAGTTTTATAAAAATAAAAAATAAAAAAAAAACATCACCGGTTCTTATTCTATTTATAATTATCTCCTTCCTCCTGTTTATTCCTCTAATCTTTACAATATATTAACTTTATTTTGTAACCTATACAAATGCCTTCCATTTATTTCATTATCCCACCTAATTTTCCTTATCTTCCTCTTTTCTCTCCAACCTATACCATTGCCTTCAGATTTAGATAACTGTACTGGCATATCAATGTCTTCTTTTTTAATAGCCTTCTATCTGCTCTTTTATTACCCAAAATACCTATATGAGCAGAAGCCCAAAATCTGGGTAGTGCTTAGCTGTAAAACGTTATATATATGTATATATATTTATATATAGTTTTTTCTTTTTTCCAAGGCACACAAACATAAGAACAAATTCAAAGTAATATCTGACCATGTCAAAAGGACATACGCTATGCTGCAGTTAGCATTTTAATGTCAAGATGAGTTGTGTTCACAAACCACGTACTTTTTCAAACTGTGTGGCTTTACAGCCGCAACATTTAGTAACTTTAACTGTATAGATAAAAATTCCATAAAGTAAACACTTCATTATACTGTCAAGTGTTTGCAAAAGAAAATACAGTTCATTTTGTTTCCCTTTCAACAGGACACTAAAGAAATGACTAAAGCAACAATGGTGCTCTGAAATTCTGGCAAGAATTAAAAATGTCTAACAGTCTCTACATTTACATAGCTGGCATAGAAATATCATAAAAGACTGATTTGTATTTATAAACAATTAAGACTGACAAGGGCATTGGATGCAAATGTAATCACACCATTAGGATTTTACTCCCCCCTTGTGTATCACAGAAAATTCCTCTCAAAATATGTCACGTGATAAAACATAAAGATACTTTTGCAAGTCGCTGTATGTAAGCTATGAAAGAACTATGACATTATTTGGTATTGCTGGCATCACCAGGTTTCTTGTTTCCATGGCAGCTAGGTGAAGTCTGTGATCTGTCATTTATATGAGAGTCCAAGTCAGTGTTATGATTCATATGTGAAAAACATTTTGTGAATTTGTTGTTTAGTTTCACATGATTTGATGACATGTGCTTTAAGCTTCATAATGACACAAAATAGCCTTCTACAAACATCAAGCCGGTAAATGGGCAGCCCATGCAACATTTATTCAACCAAGACACATATTTAAAATATATACAAAAGGTAAAAAAAAAAAATAAAAATGTCAACTTAGATAGAATATATGGACTAAAAGTAAACCAACACCAAAGTCAGCGTAGTGACCTTTCAGGGAGGACATTGTCCTTAATTAGCACAGTCTTGTACAACTGCTTCACATATATAGAGTGCAGCAGCAGATGCAGAGGAAATTCAAACAACCCACCACACTCTTTGAGGGAAGTGGTGCTTTCCATGTATTGGAATATTGCTGCTAACTGCAGAGGATATACTTTAGAAGTACAAAAAATAAATCAAGAATCATCTGAACAAAACCCACAAATAAGAGTTGGGGCTTAAGGGTCAATGTGGAAAGAAACAATGCAGGTTCTTAAAGCCTCATCTAAGGTTCAGTTGTAAGTTAGCTATTTTTTTTTTACATGTATGGTTTATCCTCTTAAGTTTTCCTGCCTCCATCTTGCTAAAATAGATACACTTTACGTGATTTTTATCCCGAAGGAAAAGAGAACACTTTCAGCTCTTATAAAGTGAAAAGGTTTGATTTACGAAGACCATCTGTTCTTCTAAATGAAATTTAAAATGAGCCAAAAAAAACTATTTAAAGAAAAACTACAAATTATATTTATACAACTCCCTGGACAACTATCTAGTGTTCCAACTATCGGGGAATCACACTTCTCAGCCTCCCCGGAAAGGCCTATGCCAGGGTGCTGGAGAG